GTTTGCATTCACACTGCACTGTGCAGTCCAGCCAACCTGTTCATCCACTCGCCTGTGGTGGCGCTGCACCAAGAACTACTGAAAGAAATGACACAAAAACCTCTGAAGAAGACACTTCTTCTTCTTCTTCTGGAAATATAAACAAAAATGGAGTGGCGTCAAGTTTTAGCAGTTTTAGGAGTTCTATTTTGTCATTTTTCAACAGTGGACTAAGCATAAATCATATAAACAACATTTCCAAAAAAGTCAAAAGAAACCTTCATTGTTTCAAATCAATAAGACCTTATATTCCTCTCCAGGCTGCTCTTCAGTATATGCATGTCATGATATTCTCTCTTAGCTCATATTGTATGACTTCATGGGCCCAGGCTACTACAACGGCTATTAAGCCAATGGTCTCATTGTATAACCAAACAATAAAAGTAATGGACAAAAAGCCAGTAGGATCACATCACTGTCTAATCCTGGACAAACATAACTTAATGCATTTTGAAAGCTTTTCTAACTTAAGTTTTCTTAAATTAATTTTAAAGTGTATCAGTAAGTTAGCTCCTCATCCATTTAGCTCATTAATACAGAAGCAAAACAGTTTCAGAGCCACTTGAGGATCATTAGAACAGAATTGCATCACTCCCCTATGAAGAACCTCGTTTGGTCAAACCTCTTTTTCCTATGAAAGCACAACATTATGGAGCTTATTGCCCCCACATGTAAAAGCTATACCTGAAATAAAAAAGTTTGTTTACATGACTATATCTTGGCTAAAGTAAAATCAAAGATGTGATCATTTTTAATACTCAGATTTTATGGATGCAAAAGTCTTTGTGGAAGTGTATGTATTAGTGAGTTAGTATTATATTTACTTTGTACAATGTTTAGTATGTTAGCTGACTGTGTGAGGATGGGGAGGTATTGAGTATGTGCTATGATATTTATGTAAATTTGTGGGTTGCAAGGTTATTTTAGAATTTGTAGAGGGAAATGTTTTGAATTTTGATTGTATATAGATTTTGAAATTGCTCATATTTTAGTGTGTAGTTTTTATTATATGAATTTGGGGGTTGTTAGATTGATTACATGAGTATGCAGGCAGGAATACGTAGGTATTCTTTCTGTATTTTGAGTGATAAATTGTATGTATTTGAATGCGTAGAAATGCCCAACCAGGGACTGGAGTTGTGAATTAGCTGTAGCTATATTTGTGCAACACATCACTTAAAGACTTGTTCTGTTCTATGTTTGTGAGCATTGTCCGTGTCAAATAAACTAAATAAATAAATGAGTGGAAGATGAGGCAGAAGGCCATGGAGAATCTTGTTTTTCACACAAGGCAGCTGACGGCTCCATATGAGGTGAGAGAAAAGCGTTTGTTTGCCCTGTGCTGTACTCCACTTCTTGCTTGAGGAGTGGTGTCCGGTCTGTTTGCATTCACACTGTACTTGAACCGCACTGGAGTTTTCTTCTACTGGGCCGAGACCTAGGTTTTTAGGTGGGCCAGAGTTCGCCTTTTTGTTCCGTGACAGGGTTTGATGGCGCATTCACACCTCCCCAAGCGAACCAGACTTTCTAAGCAAACGGACAAGAGTTCAGGACAACAGGGCTGGTGTGAATGCACCCTCAGTCTCAGTACCTTTCAGGTGACTGGCAGAGGTGTTTCTAACTACTAACAATTATGAAGCTGTTCTGCTGGAAATTCACATGTGCCTGAGTGTTACAATAAAAGGCACGGAGCACTAGAATAAAGACTGACTTGTCAAGTGTTTCATGTCTTTCTCGGGCTGACAGGAAGCTCCTGGAGGAACAATTCCTTCATAAGTACCGCAATGGCTTTTAGCTTTTGTCAAAAAACCTCAGTAAGAGAGTGTTATACTAAAGCAAGAAGAGGTTTAAATTCTCTTTCTTTGTCTCGAAACAAAAAAAAAAAAAATACACTTTGTTCTGCCAAGTATTTTCTATTGTGGCAAAAGTGTGTTATTATTACTATAATTACTTTACTTATGGCCATTTTAGTGTATGCTTACTTACAGTGTTATCACAGTTGTTACATAAACTAATAGTTTTTATGTTATCCCTATCATTTGAGAAGACCGTGCTGTCTAGTTTCTATATTGCTTTAAAGTATAGTTTCCTGAAATGACTGGAGTGGCCCTTGGAGTGTCCAAAGGTTAATCTGTGAGGGCCAAAGTCACCCTTGACCACCCCCTAGCTCCACCATTGCACCTGGTGGTGCATAAAATTGCTCTCTTTACTCACCGGGATCCATCACTCTGCTCTGCCACAGACAAGGAAATAAAAGGTAAAAAAAAAAGCCTCCCTCTATTCTTCTCCACAGTGTAACTCCTACCCACATCTTGCACCAAAAACATTGTTTACTTGCATTCCCTGTTCAATTCCAGTCCAGAAAGATCACTCATCTGCAGAACTACCAACAATTACTACTTAAATCCCTCAGCGATGGGTGACATCAGCATAGCACTTGTTTTTGTAAGAATTTTAACTTTCCTGGACCAGCTCTTTGGTCCTTATAAAGTAAAGAGTTATACAAAACAGCATGTTATAATGTAAATTTGACCTCGGCGTAATTTAGTTATGGGTTCAGAAACATGTCAAGCTTGTTTTGAACAATGACCCAGTAAGTGCCTTGGAATTAACAGCCTGATACAGAGAATGGCCTTCAGGTATATTAACAACTGATTGTTACTGAGAAATCTAAGTTTCAGATTAGAACACAGCTTTTGTGCGCTGCTGCTTCAACCTGACAACAATGTAACAACACTACTGCATTCACACTGAAGTAGTGTACAGATACACATACTTTTCATTAATCTTACAATATTTTGTAAAGCTAAATGTAGCATCTGCACACCTTTGATACTTTGTAAACATGCTACTAAAATCTAACAACTGTACAATAAAATGCACCCGCTGTGTTAAGATGCAGATGGTTGACTAAGCTGCATGCAAAGTATTTGCAAAAAAATATCAAGTGCTTGGAGAACACCGTATCTGCCCTGTAGCTTTTATTTCAGCATTTTTTTCTGATCATGTTGCTGAGCTACTGACCTTGATAAAAATATGCTGCATTGAAATTTAATGCATGCAAATGATCACCCAACACAAATGAATTAGTGTTCTGCGTGTTTCAGTCCAGGGGCGACTTAATTTGAGAAGTGTCTCTGTTTTGCACAAACTTCAAATGTTCTGCTGAAATGTGCTGAACCTGTCAAATCTTAGGCAGGGTGGGGAGGGATGGGGGTGAGACGAACGGAGTTGAGAGCCTTAACCTTGTGGGAGACAGTCTGGATCTCGACAATTAGTCTCTGCTGTCGCTTGCTTTGATTTGACACTGTGAAAAAATGTTTTCAGAAGCTTTAATTGTGTAAAGATGACACTTTGGAATGCTAATTAGAGAATCAGCGCCCCTCAGTTTTCAGGGATAAATCAAACGTTCACAGGCGAGAATGATGCCATGATTTATCACAGACACATCATTATACATGGTGACAAATCAGTTTACGTGTGGGCAGACTTCTCTCCTCTGACTCAAAAGCCAGACTTGAAGAGCACAAACTGCAAAGGCTGCAAACTAACGACTGTTAATCATTTTTACTCCTGCACTTGTCTTGGCCTCATTGTGTCGTGCTCGTTTGTGCCATTCTCGCCTCTTGCCATGTACATAACAGAAAGAATAAAGCTGTCAGTCATAATGGTTCTCTAAATAACATTTTCTGCTTTATTAGTCATACTTAATGGTGTTGAAGGGGCTGTGAGTGATGCAAAACCCTATTGTTTGAAGCCTTTTCTCTTACTGTGAGCAGTTCCTAATCGGAGAAATATTCCCCGACAATTGAATCTGAATGTGTTTTACACGCTGGGCTTACTTTGCCTATTTTGGAGGGGAAATGTGGATGTTCTCATCAAAAAAGATCGATAGCCTGTGTGAGGAAAAAAAAAGAAGCGACCACATATTGTATTCTAACATAGCAAGCAGGTAGATGGAACACTAATGGAAGCTTCCATCATTAACAATGGATAGGTACTTTGATTTCTATCATGGCAAATAAAAAAAAAATAGTTGTACATCAATTTGATTTAACAAGATGGCATCAAGGGAAAAAAAAAAAATATATATATATATATATATATATAAATAACAATAAATGCATGCAATCAATATTTTGGAAGTGTATGTTATGTGGGTTGGTTTGACCGTGTTATGCCTTTACGTATTCAACATTTCTCTACTAATCAAATATACCATATCATTGTTTTCTTCATTTCTTACAGGTCTCTCTTGTAAACGAGTCCTCGTGACTCATATAGACTATGAATGAATTAATATGTGTAAACCCAAAAGATAACCTACCAGAAAATCAAAAATTAGCAGGGAAACACTGAGAGACAGAGAGAACTGTCGTTGGCTGTTGGGGCCTCAGGTCTCATCTCGAACCCCAGGTCCCTGAGGCTCCCGGCTCGCACTTCCTCAGAAGTAGTAACTCACACTATCTCAATAAGCCAAAGAAACATGAATTCAGTTTACCAATTGTATTAAATCAAGGCAGGAAAAGGCGCTGGCCTCTCCGATACAATTCAACGCAAGATCAAGGACCGGCAGGGTGAGGACGACACGTTGCCTTACAACTATATTGGGCCTAGGCTCCGCCTTCTTCTAGGAGCGCAGCATATCAAGTGAATACAAGGAGCAGACTAAGTGTGATCTCATTGGATCTTATGTGAACTGACGTGTCAGTAAAAATGGTACGGTTTACAAAAGCCTTTCTGCGTGGTGTCGCAACCCAATAAAGAAATTTAAAAAAAATATATATATATATATCCCTTGACGGATATTGAATCCCTGGAAGACTCTTTTTAGAGTTGCTTGCTTGTTTAACAAGTCAGAACCGGGTCATAATCTTATCATAATCCATCTCTGAGCAGATCAAAAACCCATGGTCACAGTCTAGATAAAATATTTCTATCAGAACTAAAGGAATGCTTACGTTGGATATCAATGGTGACACTGGTCTCTTTGCCATTGGGTACTGCCTTGTTGGAGGCCTTACAGATGATCTGCTGACCAGTCTCAATGTTGGAAGGAGATAGGTAGAGCGTGCTCACGATGCTTTCTCTCCTTCCATCCCGGAGCAACGTCTGCAAAGAGAGAAGAGACACCCAAGTGAAGGAAAAGTCAGCCGTGTGGATGAACATTTTAGGGTTCCAAGTGCAACAGCATGCTTGAACCTTGAAGTTTCATTTTCACAGTCAATGAACAGAAGCAAAACTGTTTTAGTTTTCAGTGGATGTTGAATTTATCTTCAAATGGACCAGTTGAAGTTGGAGTTATAAACAGTTTAAGTGACATACGGATAGGGAAATATTGGACAAATACTTTAATCAGTAAGCTTTGATAGAAAACATGTAAAAGAGTAAAAGATAAAAAAAATGTAAAAAAGACTAACAATTCATGAACAAGCAGCCGCCACCCCCCTACCCACACACATGCTCCTTGGGGGAAACAGAGAAAACCCATCAGAACGTTCTATAGCCCGTAGTTCTACTGCAAAGGAACCTGATATGAAAAGAAGAAAATAAATAAAACATATTTTGAAATGTGTTTTTTGTGCTTCTTTTGTGTGTCTGGAGAGCTGTGCTCTAGTGCATGGCTTGTCATACTTCACAAAGGAAAATCAATCTTCTTTTCAGTGCTCATCCTCTGAGCCCAACATTGTGGAAGCCATCTGGAATCGGTTGGTAGCGCTCAGTAGCTCTCGCTCCGACTCCAATGTTTAGTGGAGGGCTCTGGGAGTTTATGTTAAACAGTGCAGGACAAAACAAAGTCACTGAATAGAACAAATTGTGCGGGCAACATGGTGCAGTGTGGTCAACCCCAAAGTCAGGATCCATTTTTCTGCCATGCCTTTTAAATAGGGCTTTTATATAAGGCTCATTGTTGCTCTGCTTAGGTCATACAAAACAAGAGAACCACGGTAGAAATGTACATCAAACAGTTTTATAACAATAAAAAATAAAATAGAAATATCTTGTTTCATGGAACACTCACAACAACAACAAAAATACAAACAAAAGTTAGGCAGCTATGTTGCATCCACCCAGTTTCTATACCTGCTTTGATCCTTGTAAGACTCTGGAGTGGCCAAGTCTCCACTTTATTAGGGGCCACACAAAGACAAATAGCCATTTATACTCACACCTAGGGCCAATTTAGTTACCAATTAGCCTTACATGCATGGTTTTGTCTGTAGGAGGAAACCGGAGTACCTGGAGAAAATCCACACATGCAAAGAGAGAACGTGCAAACTCAACCCACAATGGTCCCTGGACAGTATTCAATCTGGCGACCTTCTCGCTGAGCCACTGTGTCTCCTTGCAAAGCTTATAGATTGTTAAAAATATTACATGAGCACATTACAATGCCGTGACTGCAATCAATGTTTAGAATAGTAAAAGAAAAAAAAAGGTTGAATCTTGTGTAGCTTTCATGCTGGGTCACGAGCTGGTGCTGTGATTTTTGTATTTCAAGGCACAAACGTGCACAGACACTTCAGGCTCTGCATAAAACCAGTTCCTGGACTGTTCGGCACTTGTAGAACATGACAAATGTGTCTCTGGTCTCCTGAGAGAAGGTGCGGGACTGATGTGTTATGTGTCTCATGCTCTGATGAATTGAAATGTGGGCAGCACAAACAGCACTCTGCTATCCACCTTTATCACTGCTGTTCATCTACTCGTTTGTGCAGAACAAAAGCACTGACTGCAGTTATCCGCACCGCACACTAGTGAGTTCAAACTGATGCTGGGGGTTCCCAAAAACTTCCACAGAGTCCTGAATTCAACAAGTTTGGTGTCAGAGAAAACCAGGGATGTTGTTGTGTAGACGAATGATGACAATGCAACAAAATTGTTATTTCACTTACAAACCATGCTGTGTAATCAGTTCCTTAAAAGGCACAAGTTATCCTAACATACATGATTTTAAAATTTAAGGAGTAACCACGGTATCCGGAGAAAACCCACACATGCACATGGAGAACATGCTGCAAACTCCATGCAGAGCGGTCCCAGCCAGGAATTGAACCCAAGACTTTCTTGGTCCAAAGTAACAGTGCTGACCGAATATGCCACAATCTCTAAGAAACTAAGATATAACACTGATAACAGATTACTTTAAAATCAGTTGTTAACTATCATGGGTAGCCCTAAATACAAGTGTGAAAGACCTCAATGAACACTGGAAATGTTTTCACTCTTTTATCTTTAGAACTGATTGGACCAGCTATGGTCACTGTGTCCATCACAGAACAATAGTGTGAGCATTACTGTCACATTATAGTAATTTAAGAAATCACAATGCAGATGATGAGTTTCAGTGAAGCTGTGTAAAACAGCTGCCAGTGTTTCATTGTGGGGACTTCTTACTGGGTAAAACTTTCAGTCTTTGCTCTGAATCTGAAATCTGGAAAGTCCATAAACAGAGAATTATAAGTTTCCAGTTTTTCATACATTACATATTTAAGCAAATGTAGCACATGTTTCTGCATACAGGGTGGGCACTTGACACCTGACTGCACAAATGATTTAGGATACGTATTAACTGAGAGGAGTGAACAAACAGAACTGTCCAATCACTGAAGACATATTGTATTTTTTGCCATACAGGTCACATTTCTTTGCATAATTTACATGCCCTGCAACTTATACGCCGAAGCAACATATTTACGATTTTTTCCCCCCATATTTATAAACTAATTTTTGGCTGAGATTTGACAGTTTTCATTAATTCTGACTGAAAATATTGAACACTACCATTTTCAGCCACTAGATGGCACTTGTGTAGTATGGCAAGCCAATGTGTCATTTAATAGGTAAAAGTGGCTATTAATGACACAATCGACTTACCTTAGATTGCCACCTTCGTTCTACTTGATTGAAGCAACAGTCAAATCAGCTTAATTTTGCTGCACTGCCCCAGCAAAATACAGTTAATTTGACCACTGAAGTGCATTTATTAATGAAAAGTTCAACTGAGACACACCGTTACTATAAAGCTGAGCAAGCAAATAATTGTTTTTAGGTGTTTATCTTGTTAAATTTCAAAGAAATGCGCAGCGACTCATCCCTCTGCGCATGCCCGCTTCTGCGAAACGGATGCAACTTATAGGGAGGTGCAATGTTTATGGCGGAAAATACTATATATATATACTGTATATATGTGTGTGTGTGTGTATATAATGGCAACAGAGGTGTGTATATAATGGCAACAGAGTCCCACACTTCAACCATCACCTTTTCATTTGTAGACTTAGTCAACCAACCTGTGCCACAGTACAAACCAGTGATAATTATCTGCTCATTATTTTTCACTTTAATAAAAAGTTTTCAATTCAGTAAGACCATAATCTTACTGTGTGCTGTCTCTCCAGCAAAGACAATCTATATTTTAAACTCAACATGTAACTAGGAGGTCACTGAAGCTGTAAAATCATATGACAAGATCCTTTACAAGATCTTCACACTTTAGAGTTCAAGACTTCAATGAAATGCCTGAGCATATATAACATTAGTGAATTTTCTACTGAGATTAAAATATCGGCATTTCTTCTAATGCTTTGTGGGAAAATAATATAGTAGATTCAATAGTCTCTGACGCCCTATTTGTATGTGAGGAGGCATGCGATGAAATTCATATTTGTGCGTGCAGTCCCTTCTAAAGCAGAACACATTAGCTGTCAGATGCTGGGTATGTCAATGTAATATCCTTTGTGACACAATCAGGATTGTTTCCCTCATCCCTCTGGACCTGTCTGCACTCATTAATCTTAGAAAAGGGGGTTAGCTGGCAGCGGCACACAATTCAAACCCCTTTCACATAACAAATTGATCATTTTTGATACACATATGTCCATGTGAAGAATACTTACACCAAAATCTAACCTGATTTAGACAAACCATCAAGCTTCTCTTTTTAAGGAATAATTCAACATACAATCAAATAAATGGATACTTTTGTATGTGCTGAATGTTAGACAGCACAGTGAGTTGAATTTACTTGAATACCACACGAATAGAATAGCCCAAAAGTGCCAGGTATTTAGCACACAATACTTGTTAAAACTTGGAACTGCCTCCACTGTTACTTCCACCAGAACTATAATAATATTAATGATTAAATACTGACAATAGACTGTATCCAGGAAAATATTGTGGTTCCAAATATAGACTCCAGATGGACATAAACCAGTTTTCTAATTCAAAAAGTGTCTGCTTCAAAACTAATGACATTTTGTGTCATGATGTTCTTATGATTTCAACAGGTTTAATGGCTTGTCAGAGGCAGACAGTGCAAGGAAACCTCTGGTCACGTGCACTGCAGTGACACTCCTTCCCATCAGTCTGAGCTCATTTAGATGTGTTTGATGACCAAAAGTGGACCCCCCCCCCCCCCCGAATTCTTACTCTCTTTAGGAAAAAAAAAAGTCAGCTCTTTGGATACATTTCCAGAAGATAGAAACAATTCTTTGTTGTTTGCCACTAAGCAACATGATTTGAATATGAGACCTGAATGTTGTAAGGAAAAAAAAGTGAATATTTAGACTAGATTTTAAATTTATTCTTTATTTATTATTTTTTTACTTAATTGTTTAGGCAGCTTCCTTCATTTCATACTCCAGTTATTTGCGTTTTCTTCTAAATCTACCCATACTAATGATAAGCACTAAATCTTATAAGCAACTCTTTACTGTGGTTCAAACTACTCAAAATGTTTCTAAATGATAACTTTAATCATGCACGTTCTCTTTAATCATTCTTCCAGTAAATACTTTTCTATGAGGTCACAGAGATGAGGTTTTGGATGCCTATGGCCAGAAATTATCTGTGGGTCAGAACTATCATTACATGTGACACCATCAGGAAAGCCATCTCTGTGAATCCAGGACCACATCTGCTCACATTAGACCTCTACATCAATGGGGTATGAGAAGACCATCAGAGCAGATGATTATGCTTGCAAAATGGCCCCCCGCTGCTTTGCAGACCCAAAAAAGTCATCTTTTTTTTAATTGAACCCATTGCTTTTTAATGTTAGGCAATAGAGACAAGAGGGGAGAAGCTCATACTTTGGGCTCAATGACATCCATCACCTAGCAGAGCTGAATGTCTTCATATCTGCCTTCACTCTGAGGAGAATGACAAGGAATCGAAAGAATGTTTCAAACAGCACCTTCACCAAGCACTTTAGTAAAAATTGCCCAGTGATGTACCTCCTCCCAATCAATGGGCTTTAGTTGCTTTTTGGAAAAGGGCGATAATGGGATGAGGTAGCAGGAGAAAGGGAGGACATGAGTGGTGTCCTGTTTACGTTTGGTTTGAATGAAAATAGAACAGAACCCATCTGAGTGAACGTTTGAACTCAAGAGCTCATACCAGACAAGTGTCTATGGGTTCCAATGATTGCAACATGGCACCGGTGTGAACTGCTAACCATATCTGTGTGCTTTCTGACATGGGACTGCAGGTGGCTTCACAACGAAGGAACGCCCACTGAACTGTTAATGTTATAAAAGTCTGCAGAAGTCTCTGTTCGAGGTTTCATTCTGTGACTTGTCTTCATGCATATGCACAATATTTATGTCTGTAACATGTCCTGAATAAAGCACATGCAAGTAAAGCCAGTTAAAAATTTTCACCTGCCACAAGTTTTGGTTCTTTTGAGTAAACAACATTAATGAATGAGAATTTTTCCAACAAACAGCAGAAATGGTAGGATAGTCTTGATTAAGATGCTGTACCATAAGAAGAGTGGATGTCGCACTGTTAGAGCTGTCATTTCTAACCCGAACCCAGAGCCCGGCCCGACCCGACCCGGATTTGGGCTATGCTGGGCCATAATAATAAACTTAATGTGTGGACCGGGTCGGTGTCAGGCTTTTGATTGTGCCAGGAACGTGTGCGGCTGACGATCCAATATATGAAAACAAGGTTTGCCATACAGCATCTGCCGCACGTGGCCATTTGACCGCTCGCTGACCAGCCGGTTGAAAGAAGTAAAAGTTCAGTTAAGCTTCAAATGAACTACTTACCAGTGACCCATCAGCACAAATGGACGTTCTTTCAACCATTGCACTCAGCAGACGCGCGCGGCCGACGACTTAAACATGTGAGATCACAAAATATCCTTCATGTCAGAGCAGGATGCAGGCAGAAGCAGGGGAAGCATTTAATTAGCTGTGACGGCTCTTCAGCCCCGATCTTCTGCCCCCTCAGCCGTGCGCATCCGCCAGCTGTTAATAGTCGGTGGTATAAGCGGTCAAAGCTTAATTAATTTTTTTTTTTTTCCTGTGTTCGGACCTGTAATTACTGTTAATTTGTCAGATTAGGTGGGGTTCGGAGATGATGGCTAGGGGCTGGGGCCAGGTTGGTTCGGATTATTTGGACCCAAGTGCAACTCGGCACACTGTAGACTAACAGGCCAGGATGATACAACTGGCCATAGGAGGAAATCAAAACAGGAAAACGATGTAAACATATTGTCAGTGTCCTGATTTGGCCATCTGTCTGTTTTGGTTGGTTTGTAAAGCAAAGGGGGTGGAGGATGTTCTATTTCCATAATCAAAATACAAACTGTTTCTTCAAAGGAGCATCATAAAAATAAAAAAAAGCTGAAGACTGAGACGGGCAGCACGGTGGCGCAACTGGTAGAGCTGCTGCCTCTCAGCGAGCAGGTCCCTGGTTCAAACCCCGGTCCAGGGTCCTTTCTGGGTGGAGTTTGCATGTTCTCTCCGTGCATGCGTGGGTTTTCTCCGGGTGCTCCGGTTTCCTCCCACAGTCCAAAAAAAAACATGCATGTTAGGCTGATTGGTAACTCTAAATTGTCCCTAGGTGTGAGTGAGAGAGTGAATGGTTGTTTGTCTCGTTTGTCTCTATGTGGCCCTGTGATGGACTTGCGACCCGTCCAGGGTGTACCCCGCCCCTCGCACAGTGATTGCTGGACATGGGCACCAGCGACCCCCGTGACCCAAAATGGAATAAGCGGGTAAAGAAAATGGATGGATGGATGGATGAAGACTGAGACAAACACACATCAAAGATGGGGCAAAGTGTTCAATATTTCAAGAATATTTCACACAGTGCACACTGAGGTATTTAAAGCAAAGCAGTGCATGAAGAAAATACTAAGAGACAGATGTCACAATTTGTTTGTAACTGTTTACTTTTAGTTAAAAGCGAGCAAACGAATAGATACAACATTGAAATGAAGCCCCTTTACCACCACTTCACCCACCCTCCCATCAATCCCTAGATGCACATATTGTATACATATCTGCTGATGACACACCTCTGTGCTTACCTTGGAGTACATCGCCCCGTTAAGGACCTCTCCGTTACGGATCCAGATGATGGAGGCTGCAGGTTTAGCGTTGTCAGCATGGCATGTTAGGTTGAGATGGTCGCCGGCTCTCAGGCTCACCACTGGCCCCCCACTGATGACTGGGTCATCTGGGGGAACTGTGAACAAATTTAAAAAAGAAAACACCACAAGTTATAAGACTAGGGTTTGGTAAAGAATAGGATACCTAATATAAAGATGAGCTGGTGGGCAATAATGTAATCACATGTGCTTGTGTTTGTCTCCGCAAGATATTTCATGAACCATTGGATGGATTTTAATCAAACTTTCTGAGCAATCATTTACTAACTTTTGAAGTCAACCTGATTTAAGACCACAACCACAGATTCACAAACAACACCATAACACAGCCGATGGTCACAGACATGCAGCTAAAATATGGTCTAATAGTAGCTAAGAATATATCCCAACACTAACTGGGATTTTTGTTTAAAATATGACATCAACTGATGGAGTCAACCCTGTGTTGTTGTTAACAAAATGTCATATGAACCACTGGAAATACTATAATGAATCTCATAGAAAGTAATCATTGGATATGTAAACATCTGCTCAAGGATGTTGCAGCTGTTCCCTGACAGCTGGACACTTGTATACACTAACACTTTTGTTTGACCACGTCTAGCTGTGAAGATGGAAGAAAGTCAGTTTTTATAGCTTTCTGAATCTACTGCTTTCTGAATTCTGGCTATGAATCAGGCAGAATATAATAAAAACATGGGGTAATATGCTCTTTAGGAAATATCCACAAGTTTATCAGAAGTTGGAATATAAATCTCTTTACGCTAATTTTATATCCTCCAGGGCTCACTGTAGTTGAAACAATAAAATGAAACTTGAATAAAAATAGGGACAAGTGAAAGTTGTGTAAATGTATACATCTGTTTGTAGGTAAATAAAACATCTGGACCTGTAGTTTCCATGACATACCTTATCCACTGTACTAATCTGGGTGCTTAGATTTTACACCCCTCATTCTGCTCCACCATTTTATCACATCATCCGTTGCCCGAAAATGGGTGTATGGCTAAAATACTTACTATTGGAATTAGCCCAATTCAAGATGGCTGCTACAAAAAGGGCTATTAATAATTTAGGTTTACAGAAAATTAGCTGAAATTGATGTGATAGTAGCTGAGAGTGATCCCTGAAAAAGAATATCCAGGACCTTGGAATATTGTGTATTAGCACACATACACATATTTTTGAGATTCGACCACAAATAAAAACATTCTAGTTAAGTTAATTTATTTACAATGCATATTTAAAAACAATAAGTTGCAATCAAAGTGCTGAATAACAATAATAGCAAAATAAGACAGAGGCAGAAATAAAAACATTAAAACGAATTAATTTAAAAAACATCAAAATAAAGTAAACATATACAGAACAATGTACATATACAGTATATATATACAGTATATATATATATATTTAATTAAGTCACTTTAACATTATTATTTTAGATACTGTCTTATTTTGATATTATTGTTATTATATACTTTGATTGCAA